CAAGTGGTGCAATGTCTGGGTGATTTATTTCATTCTCTGATATTCGTCCTATTGGCATAGACCTCAGGCTTGTTCGGATGTCCTTTTTCTGCTCAAGGAAAAAGACTCCGACATCTTGCCTTCTTTTTCGGGGCGCGGCCAATGTGGAATACCCTCATTCAGTATGAGCGACGGCACAAGTAGGTATTTGTATTTCGACATCACTTAATGTTCATTGACAGGTCGGCAGCGTCTCTAAGCCGGACACCTTGGTGAGCCAAACAACGCTCTCTCCATTATTCAGCTTGGTTGCGTGCTTAGACTTTCCACGTTAAAGCATTGCAGCCAGTGTCCTATGTCATTCCAGCCTGCATTTTGGTAGGTACATTGCCGAGGGAACTTTTTGGCCCACCTACACATCTATCTAAACCACGATAAATCACCATAGGGCATGATCATTCCTACTGCTTCACTGCTACAACTGTAATTGCGTTCTGCTTTAGATGAACCTTCCGGCAGTGACTAAGATAATCAGGAGTTTGGCCAGTGATGGCAGTTTCAATGCAATTTTCGCCCCCTTACAAGTTGTTTCGGCCGATGACAACTGTCTGAAATGTCGTTTCCAAGTGACAAAAGAGATGAGTAATTCTTTCCATACTCTCCACGGGGGCTATATTGCATCTCTGGTCGATTTCATCTCAAGTGTGGACCTCATGCGTCGGGGACGTCTCGCACACGTCAGTGTCGAGTTAAGCACTTCGTAAGTTTACTTGTTTTTATTCATACCCTAATCCTCACTAGGTATGTCAAAGCGGCAAAGATGAATTCATGGATTTCTGCTGAATCTTACATCCTCAAACACGGCAAGACCCTCGCCTTCTGCGAAGTTTCCCTGTTTGACGAGGCCTCCGGCAGTCTGCTCGCTAAAGGCAAACACACCAAATACATACTTTCTTAACTCCCATGCTTTTTATTACGCTTCTGAACTCCTTAGTCTTCAGGGATTCCACCCATTTGTACCCCTGTATATGGTTGACTTTCGATATACTGTGAACTTTTAGTTTATAATCATATTTGTCGTGCGTTCTTGTACTAAATTGTTTTTTTTTATACGACGCTCAATAGGGCTCTGCCAAAATAAGTCGTACGAAAGCGTTTGACCTCCGTTTTCAATCTTATCCTCGTTTTTGGATCTACAGTGGATACCTTAAATTGCTGAGCCCGCAGTCCGAGTCGTGGTCTTTAGAGTCCAAAGTTGTAACCAACTGCCATTCCTAAAAGAATTTTTACCGCCCATATCCGCTTGGAGGGTACACAACTATCAAGCTGCCACCACCACCACCACCACCACCACCACCACCACCACCACCACCACCACCACCACCACCACCATTCTAAGATGCATAAGCATTATACCTACTACATCCTGTAGGAATAATTCAGTTGCCTCAAATTTGGCACTTATGTTGGCGGATTCTTTTGGATTGTTTTCCCCGACATCCTCGTTTTCCAAATCTGTACTGACGTGGTTTTTTGGAGTACATATCGGGGTCTACGAAGGTTACCAAAGCTGGACTACTCATTGAACATCAGGTTCTTTAAAAATAGACCATTGCTTTAAGATTCTTGATTTGAGTACTTCTGGGTGTCCTCGGTGCTCATTTTTTGCGGAGACAAAAGTGATACTTGAGGGTTTAAGCAGATATTCTTTCGTCAGTCTCCGCCCTCTACATACTTGCGACGACTGTAAAATGGCCGTCGACTGCAGGGATGTTCTGTGTCTTGTCTCTTTTTACGTGAGGATTTTGCGGCAACAGATCTCTCGAGGTCGACCCGCCTTTTTTCTTTGTGGTTGGGCGTCATATGCTTAGGGTTTGCGTATCACCCCGAGATTTCGATGGACCATGTCGATCCAGCTTTTTAACTGGCCTCTGCTTCTCATACAACAAGGACATGGCGTCACTCATGTCTGAGTCTTCCCGCATGTAAGATAGGAGGAGGCGTTGGGCCTCCTGCACACGGGCTTTTGACTACTGCCTTACGACCGTCCTATGAACATCTTCGTGGTCGACCAGCGCAATCAGTGTTGTCGTTAGTCTGTCCACATGGGGGTTGAACTCATCGCACTTTGCTACTCTTCCGAATACAGTCCTAACCTTGTGAGGGCCACAGCTCCAGATGCATTAGTCTTGAAAGCAGTAGAAGACCTAGGCATACGAGGTAACGAAACCAGCTGGTAACCACATGACACTAGACTCTCGGAGGACTCTTTATAGGCGATATTACTCTCGAAATTGAAGTCTCCCTTCGGATCTGTCCATCCGACGTCTCAGTTCCACGAAAAATCCCAATCGAAACTGAGTAAGGCACTTTAAACGAAGGTGATGTGAGCGACCTGGTTGGGACGGGTTGCTAGCACATCCGTTGGACTGGTAGGCGGCTCCTCTCCAGCCGGCGTAGAGCTTGCTCAGTAAGCGCAAGCAACAATCCTATTATTGTGGCCTTATAGATACTAGAAGCAATATTTTCCCGGGATGAATCTGAAGCAAGCATAAACAGCAGAATTTATTGGAACCAATAAATTCTGCGACGGCTTATCAACTGCAGCCTGTCGCTGCATAACATATAACAAATGAGAAAGATACAGAGATTTTAACTCTTACAGATAAAATCAACAAAACAGCAAGGTCATCGTATACTGCACGCAGACTAATCAACAGAATGGTAACCTGAAAACGCAACTTAAGAAAAAGAAACGGCGAAGTTAGCACGCAGAGGTGTTGCGCAAATCAAAGGGCTGAGATTTACCAGGGCAAGCTAACGTTGACCACATGATGTAACTGTTTGCGTAGGTCGGGTTTCTCCCGCTGTATGTAGACTGCCTCCAAGTAGCGCAGTATCCGAGTTGTTCGTGCCCGAACTAATACTCGAAGAAACGTTTTAGGGTCGACGGAATGACCGCTATATAGGAGGTGTTTTGGGATAAAAGACCGTGGATATTTATTCTCCTGCCTTAGAAGCCATTTAAGCAGGTGATCAACTGACCTGGCTGCCAATTGCCTTTGTAATCGCCTAATGTATTTGCATCCACGAGTGCATGTGAATTCGTAAACACAATTTGGCGTGGAATGCAATGGCAAGGCATCCTTTGCCCTTGGAATTGGGCTGGCCTCAGTGGGACTGCTGAATACGAGTTCGGCTGCGTTGCATGCTCTTTCAATGACGCATCTCAATCGCCGCTTAATGGTATTTTAAATGCTGTCACCCTTAAAGGGTAAGGATATTACAACGGGCTTTTTCGGAACTGATTGTTTCATCAATTTAGGCCGTAAGGTATTACTGTACTTTTGGATGAAACGTGTTGGACATCCATGTTTAAGCAGGGCTGTTTGAAGACGAGAAGTCTCAGCGTCCAGTTTTTCAATAGAGCAAATGTTTCTCGCTCTTTGGAAAAGAGTGTAAACCAGATTTCGCTTTCGTTGTATTGGCACAAAGCTCAGGAAGTGTAGGTATTGACCCTTCCAGGTATCCTTATGGAAAACCGATCGCCTTATTGAACTATCTTCTGGCCCAGTCATGAGGACATCCAGGAAAGATAGCTTGTTACACTGCTCGTTTTCCATTGTGGATTCGATCTTCGGATGGAGACTACTCATGACAACAAGTAGGTCTTCGGCTTCCTCGTTGTTATCAACAACAGAAAAAATATTATTCACACATATTTTGTATAGTGTTCTGATATTCAATTTAAATGTCAACTTTACTTTTAAGTGACCCATAAAAATGCCTGCAAAAGTTGGACCAAGTGGACTTCCCATCGCCACTCCATCAATTTTTCTGTATAGCAGTCCATTAAACAGAAAGTGGACGTTTTCGTACAGTTTCAACAGGTCACTTAGTATTTCACGTAAAAGACAGGTTTCAGACGCATGGGCAAATATTACATTTATTGTCTCATCAAGTGGTACATTTGTGAATAGTGATACTACCATCAAGGGTATCATGCATTTGTTAGAAATGTTCTACTGTCTAACTTTTTCAATAAAATGGAACCTTTCATCAGGCCAAAACGGTTACAATGAAGTTTAAGTTATGCGAATTACATGACTTATAAATGATTCGGGGACAATTAACATCGATCGTTCCCACGCCACTCGCATGACGAGGCGTGCTATGGCGTGGTCGGCGTGTCGTGGTAATTGGGTTCAGGGGGCGAGGAGGAGGGGGGGCATAAGCTGTGAGTGCGTCGTGTACCTTGTGCACCCACCCTGGCATCAGGAGGTTGGAGCGACGTTGGGATCGGCGTCGGCCACGGAAGACAGAGCGCCTGTGTCAGAGTCTTCTGACAGCATAGCACTGGATTGGCTAGCCGTATAGCCACTGCCTCAGCTGTAGCTAGCACCCGTTGGCGTAGGCCTTTAGAGAAGCCTGCTGGTGTCCGGTAGACAACCTGAAAGGCTTCTTTGGCATCGACTCGGTGATTCGTATCGAAAAGATGTGCGAGAATAGAACTCGAGATCGATTTCTTCTCACCTTTGCCTAGCCAGGCCGGTATGTGTTCACGTACTCTCTTTTCCAAACGCCTCGTTGTACGGCCGATGTAGCCCGCTCCACAGGAGCAAGTGAATGAATAAATACACACTGATGTGGCCTGCAACGGGAGTCGGTCTTTACCTCCCAAGCGTAGGAGGGGAGAGTTAGTGAAACACACACGTAAGTTCGCCGCGGGGAAAGCGCTAGTGATCGCTGTCTTCAGACGTCTTTTTACCAGTTCACTTGCTGCGTCTCCTTGAAAAGGCAATCTTATAAATAAGTCCTTCTTTTCTGCAGTTGCCATGGTGGGTTTTGCAGTGCGCTCCCCTATATTTCGAAGGATAAATCTTTCTGGATATCCGTTTTCGTGGAGTGTATCCCGCAGCTGCTGGAGTTCTGCCTCCACAGTCTCAGGAGAGCAGATACGTCGCACTCTAGTTGCCAATCCCTGGACTAGATTTCGTTTGATGTTGAGGGGAACAAAACTGTGAAAGTTAATGTATTGTCCCGTCCAGGTTTTCTTTCGGAATACTCTACGTTGGATAGACCCATCCTCTTGTCTGTGCAGAAGAACGTCGAGGAACGCGATTTCATTGTTTGCCTCAACCTCTGCAGAGAACGTTAGCGAGGGGTGTGAATTGTTGAATTTTTGAATCAGGACGTCTGTGTCGGTGGTAACATCCGTCAGGCAGAAAATATCGTCTACGTACCGACCGTAGAAGCTGAGGTCATTAATGGTGTCTTGTAAACTTGTCATCTCGACTTTGCCCATGAAGACATTTGCGAGGAATGGGCCGAGCGGTGAGCCCATCGCTACGCCGTCTATTTGCCTGTACAATTGACCATTGCAGAGAAACTGGACGTTTTGCGTGCACTTTGTCAGAAGCTCTTTTAGCGTCTCCAACGGCATGCCTAACGGGTAGTTCGTGTCGCGGATAACGTCACAAAGGTAGTTTATTGTTTCGGCTACGGGTACATTAGTAAACAATGATGCTACGTCTAAAGATAGCATCCTCCGTCCGTCAGCGTTAATATCCTTTATCGCCTCGACAAACTCGAAGGTGTCCTTCAGACTTAGGGGATACAAATGACTTTGCAGCGGTTTAAGCTTTTCGACTAGCCACTTTGCTATGGTGTGATAGGGCGAATTCCGCATATCCAGGATCGGACGTAGGGGTAGTCCGTGTTTGTGCATTTTTGGAAGGCCGTACATTCTGGGTATGGCCGTGCCCACTGGTCTTATTCGCTCATATTCTTTGTCAGAGAAATGACCTTCTTTGTGGAGAACTTTGAGGACCGCCGTCAGTTGACCTTCAACGGCCTCGGTGCGGTCCCTGTCTTTCTCGGATTTCGAGAATTTGGTACGATCCGACAAGATTGCTTCTAGTTTTTCTACGTACTCTTTTCTATCCATCAGTACAACTCCTGAACCCTTATCCGGCCTGGTTAGCACAATGTTTTCGTTTTTACGAAGTTCGCTGAGGCTATCGAGATGGGCCCTTGTTAATGGACCTTTGTTTTTTGGAGCCTTTCTCGAGTACTGTTGACAGCAATTAACCATAGTCGACTTCAGATAGTCTACTTGTCTAGGCCCGCTAGGTTTTAGATCGGCAGTCTGACTGAATGGACTTTCGAATTGGACTTCTAACTCTAGCTGCTTCGGCATCCGCCGTGCATTGCAAAATCTAGGACCAAGAGACAGTATCTCTATGAGAGTTTTGTCAAGCTGTACTGAGGAATAGTTATGAACGTACCGTTCCGGATTATTCGGAAGGGCCGTCTGAGCCTTCACTGGTTGGACGCTTCGAAGGAGCTTAGTCCACCTCGCCTCGATTCTTTTACTTCTGACAGTTTGCACGTAGTTTTCGAACGCCAGTCTCTCGCAATATTCAAGACGGTCCAGGGCCGCTGTTCTCTGGCACAGATTCCGTTGGAGTTCCTCAATTCCGGCGCTAACAGTCTCCAGGTGACTTTCTGCATGTTGTCTTAGTGCGGCTGGGGTAGTGGCAATATGATTCCTTCGTAAGGTTTTCCAGTAGTGTTTCGGATATTCACCCTTGTCAATAAATCCTGATAAGAATTTTCTCGTCACATGTGCCTCCGCAAGTCTGGTGTCAAACTTTAGGAATCCATTGAGTTCCTTTAACACCGAGGGATCTTTGGATTGTCTGAGTTCAGCGAATATTCCCATGTTGCAATTGAAAAGTCAAATTGGCGAACACGTGTTTTCAGTAACTCTTCATCAGGCCAAAACGGTTACAATGAAGTTTAAGTTATGCGAATTACATGACTTATAAATGATTCGGGGACAAT